GCTAAATTAGTAGAACAAGAGAAAAGAGAAGTTCTACTAAGAAACTATCTATAGCTAAAATAACTCAAAATAATCAGATGACTTTTCTTGGCATAATCAGGTAATTGTGGTACAGTAAGTCACGTATAGCGCAGTATGTGATGCAACAATAATCTGCAAAATAAAAGATAAATATACTATGATTATTAATAACTAATCTAATTTTGTTACAGATATTATCTTTAAAAAAGATAGTTTATAAAAGAAAAAGAATAATTTAAATCAAGAAAATTACATTAATTAATATGTAAAGTCATTATCAATCAAATATAATTAAAGATTTAAAATAATTAAATAGTAAGATTATTATTAATCAAAGAAAACTATAACTAAAGAAAAATGTAAGACTAGAATAAATAACAAAATAACTAACTAAAAAGGATGTAGCTTATTTATAATAGAGATCTTTTACTCTTAAAAATAAATAAAATCAAAAAGTATGACTTATTTATAGTAGAGATCTTCTATTCTCAAAAATATAAAATCAATATCTCAAATCAAAATCAATATAATATTATAATAAAATCAAAATCAACTTTATATATCAAGAAATAAAACCAAGTAAGAGAAAAAGTACTAATATAATTAGAAAAGAAATCAAAAGATTATTATTATTACTATAATAAGTTTTTAATTATATTTTCAAACTAATTCAATCCAAAACTATTTATTTCAAGCCAGAATAGCAGGTCCTTTTATACATTTTTCAAATATATAAGTTATTATAGTATTACTAGTTAATACTATCAAAATATACATATTAATATATTTTAGAATTGAAATATTTCAATTACAAAAATCTATAATCTGATCATTTCACCAAAATATAAATATCAATAATATCAATAATATCAATAATATCAATAATATTAATAATCTCAAGATTATACAAAGGATGAAATATAATCAAAGAGAGCTATAACTATATCAACTAATTACTCTACAAAGTATACCAAAATAATTATGTATATAAAGTGTAAATCTGAATATAATATGGGTAATTGAAAATTTAGATCTCTAATTAAGAGGATAAAATATAATATTTAGGATATAATATGAATATAGGAGATAAATATAATAAATGAAATAAATATATGATTAGATAAAAATAAGGGTAATCATATGATAAATTATAAAATTATAGAAAAATAGAATTTTGCATAACCAAAGAAAGATTATGAAATTAGAGAATTTTATATTACCTTGGAATTGTTTTATACGAGGATTTAACAGGTGAACGACCATTTTGGTGATCGAATTCATGCTCATTATATTGTATTTATAAAGGAATACGACCTATAATACCAAAACTATTCCTGAATCACTTAAGTTTATCATTGAAGACTATTGGTATCCTATTCCAGAAAAAAGATCAACATCTGAGGAATTGAAGACTTTATTAACTTTATCTGGTATCCAGACGATGATTGGAAGCTGAATGATTTGCATTTTCAGTGCTACAGTTCTTAAAGTAGAAAGGCAGAAATGGAAAGAACTTAAAGAAATGAAACCGCAAAAAAGCGTGAAAAAAATTGACAAATTCACTCAAATGCAATTTACACCAGTCGAATCTTTACTTCTCAACTGAAATTAATACAAGTTTAATTCTAAATGGAAATCATTACTAGACATATTGATATAAAAATTAAATATCTAGGTACTACAAGCGTTACTTTTGCATATTCCGAACGAAGGTAAAAATTTCTATATTATTTTTTATAATTCTATTATTTCTATTAGTTCATTGTTTTTATTCGATGTGGCAAGCGAATATCTTAAAAATTCATTATTAATATGAATGTGTTTCGTGCCAGAAGAATAAATACTGCGAAGAATGTTTAGATTATCAAGATCAATTTTATAAAGCTAAATGGTCTAACGATGTTGACCGTTTAATAAAGAATGCATGAAAGTTCAAAATTTCCTTCGAATGGATTCCTTTTGAAAGATTTACAAATGTAACCATTAGAAGGGTGGGATCATGAAAAAGATAAATGGATCGTTATGGCATAGTTTAAAGCAGATTACATTAGGATTTACAAATGAGGTAAAAAAATGACTATTTTAACATGCCTGCAAGCTATTTTTAATATACCGTATATCTCCGAATATAAGCAACCACCTCTTTTTAAGACCTGAGGTTCTGAAAATATTATATATAAAACATAATAAATTTATACTCAAATATAAGCAACCCCCCCCTTTGCCCTGCCAAAATCTTGCATTTTTTGGTTGCTTATATTCGGAGATATACGGTAATTAAATTTTTAAAAATAGATGCAGATTGCCCTGTTCATATGGAATAAACTGTTATGGAAGAACTTTACAACTTTATTGGATCTGCTATGATAAATTAGATTATTGGAAACTGAACTGATGAAGAAATTAAGAGAGCATTGAATTAAAAAAGCAGAAGATAAAGAGCACTAATGATACTTGATGGTGACGAAACCTTCCGTCACGACCATTTTGAAAAAGTCTGTGACGAATGACGAAACCTATGACGAATGGCGAAACCTATGACGAAACTTTCTGACCAATGAAATACTAGCTCGTGAATCACGATACCGGACGATGATGAGCATTTTTGAAAATGTACGAATGCATATACATGTACATGTATCGATAACGATGATACAGTACATGTAATACGTTCACACCCCTATACCGATAGATATTGATATAACGATAATAATAATCCTCTCAAGAATAAGAAAAATCTATATACCGATACTTAACATTAATGTTTATTATCATTGCCATTATACAAATTAGAATCCTATTGCTATTACGCGTCTTTCTTTTCGCATATATTGGGAAAACATGAAACAACACAATAAAGAAAAAAACAAAATACCTGTTGTTAAAAGACGAGGATCTATAAGTTCTTCAATCTCCTCCGCCTATACTTTTGCATCAAGTCTATCAAATGAAACAATTTCCGGATGTCAATTGTCAACTGTTTGGGAGTTTTTTATACGAGGAAGAACCAAATCTCCTGGACACTTTTCAGCCATATGTAAATTTTGTCAAGCTAAATGGACAAGAGGTGAACCATTAAAACTCGAGGCACATCTTGCATTAAATTGTTCTAAAGTGGAAGATAAAGTTCAACAGGTGTACTTGCTTCATGTAGCCCAACGTGATGGACCTGATAAAGAATCTAAAAAACGAAATTAAATAATGAACAATCTAATCTCACAAGATTTTTTCCACATATGTCAGAAGGAGGTTTATCTGAAGGACGAAAGAATTCTATAGATAGTTCTTTATTGAAAGCTTTTGTAGTTTGTGATATTGCATTTTCTGCAGTGGAAAATCCATTTTTTATCAATCTTCTTCAAAATTTGTGTCTAGATTATTAGCCAACATCAAGTGAAACTTTGTCAGAATGAATCTTAGATCAAGAATATTCTAAGGTTACTATTAAATGAGAAACTATTTTTCATGAATCAAGTAATTTAACTTTAGGTATATATTTAATTATTTAAATAAATTGATTTATATTATAAATTACTAATTAAATATATATATTATTTATAATATTGAATGGATGGACTTTACCTAATGAAGATTCAATTTATAGTTTTATTATTTTAACTTCTGATCATTATTAATATTTACATTCTCTTCATAATTTTTCTGCAAATTCACATATTGATCAATTTCTTGCAAATAAAATAAATAATATTTTGGATGATATTGGAAATAATAGATTTACAGCTATTGTCATGAATAATGCCAGTAATATAAAACTTGTATGACAAATTATTTATCAATAATATCCAAATATTTTAAATTTACACTGTATAGCATTGTATTAATCTTATATCTAAGAATATTCTTAGTAAGTATTTATAATTTATTTTTAAAAAATATATATAACCATTTTAAAATATAATATTTATAATTTAATAAATTATTTGATTTAATTATTTAATTATATAAATTTTTTTATACTAATTTTTATTTTATTTATTTAGAATATATATTTGCTTTACATCTTGTAAAAGAATATATTCAAATTATAAAATAGTTTAAAAAATCACATCAATTAAATACACTTTTAAAATAAGTAATTGAAGTTTTATAAATTTCTGATAGTGAATTAAAAAAGTTTATTAATACTTGATTAAAGATGATATTATAACTTAGTCATAATTCTCTGATTGGCTATCATAATTAGTTATGATTCTTTAATTGATTGTTATAAGTTATAATTAATTGAGATGATATCTTTATACTTGATAAACTTTAGTATATGAAAGTATTATATCAGTTAGTTAACTTAAATAAGTCTTTATTAAGATAAAGAATTATTTTAATTAATTTTAAATAATTAAATAATTTTTTATTTAGATTATAAATAATCAATTTAATTTCAAATTAAAATATAAAACAAATTCTAAAATAATCATATTTTTTCTTGAACCTTAAAATTTCAATTAAAATTTTAGCTTTTATTGAATTACAAATATAATTTTGAAGTCATAATCAGTAACTTTAACTGATTGTTTTATATAACTTATTCACTTAGCAATTGCAATCAAAAAAATTTCAAATAATTAAAATAATACTTTTAAAATCATTTTTTAATTAAAGATAAAAAGAGTTTGATATGAATGAATATTTATTAGTATATTTTTTTCATTCAGATTATCATGATAAGATAATTATTAATTTAATAAAAATCATATAATTTTATATTTAGTAATTTGATTATAATAAATTTAATTTATTATAATTAAATAAATAAAATAGTATTAAAATTATTTTAACTTATTAAAACATAAATATCACGTTCTGAAATTTAATTTTAATATGTAACATTTTGTATTCTAGTAATCTGATTTGTTATAATTATAAGCAAATTATATCATAATAAGATTTTCAAATTGAATTACTTATAAAGTTATTAATTTATTTTTTATAAACTTTTTTTGAATATTTATAATTATAATTATATTAATTGTTATAATTATTTAGATATTGATTTATATGAATAATAATTGCAAAAAATTTAATTAAAATATGATAACAAGAAGTAATTATTTAGATATTAATTTATTGAACAATAATTTCTAATTATTGCAAAAAAGTATAATTAAAATATGGCAACAAGAAGGACATGATCAGTATATATACACAAATCTTGTAGCTTATATATGAGCATTTCAAGAAAAAAATACTGGATATGACTTGTCACATTATTTCAAAAATAATACTTCTTTGCTATGCTGGATGACAAATTCTACTGATGCAAAATCTATTGACAAATTAATTATTAAAATCTTTTCAATTACATCATATTCTGTTGATTGCAAAAGAATCTTCTCAGTCTTAGATTGGCTATATGGAAAATGACAACAACAATTTTCTTTATTTGAATTCAAGCTATAGTACAAATTCAATCTATTTATATTTCAAATATAAAAAATGAGTTAGTTTTGTTTGGTCAGGAATCATCATCTAATAATTTATGAGAATTAGTAATATTATCAATATTACTTTTCAAAAATACTTAAGGAAATACAAAAGATGTTGAATTAGAAATTAATAATATTGATTATTTTTTCTGGATACTAAAGAAAGTCTAACATGGTATATTAATAGCCTCCTTGTATGTGTAAACAAAATACTGCTTCTATACTTAAAATATCTCCAATATTCTTTGTATGAAATTTCTTATTCACTAATAATTCATAACATAAAATTTTAGATTGATCGAGATATATAATTTTAGGAATTGGCTCGCTCTTAATCTTCACACGGGTGATCTGTAGGTAGCCTAAGAATATATCCAGTGTAGAATAATAATCTACTTGTATGAAAATTTTATTTAATGTATATTATTATGAAATATAAGATTTATATGAAAAATATTATAAATAAATTAAACATTAACATTAACAAATAATATCTGACTTAGATGTTTCAATTTCCTGCGTCAGAAAATAAGACATTGCAGGAATTAAAAGATGTTTTTTTACCATTTGGCTCAAAATAGGAAATACTTTCTTGTAATATTATTACCAACACAAAAAGCATTTTCATAAATTGAGCTATTGGGTGCCGGTTTAAGATTTAGATAATTATGAATTTCCATTTCATGTCATTATCATTCAGAAATATAGACGAAAATTAAATCAATTCAATTAGAAAATTGATATATTTCTCTTTATTTGCTTCGATTTGAATTATAAACTCATTTTTGAGATTTGACTTTGATTATTCAGTAGTTACATATTCTGTAAACAAGTATTGTTTAAATAACTTTTATACTATATACAGTAATATTTATAACATAATTATTTTACCTTCATTAGAAACATATAAACTGACACTTGTAAAACCAAATACTACATGTACTAATTGTTTGCTGCATTCAATTTTTTGAATATCCAATCTTGATTCACATAATTTTAGTATATTTCAAACCCCCTAAGTTTTACATGTTATATTCTAAGAATACACCAATACATATTTAATATATTTATATAATATTTTTAATATCCTAACATTTTCATGATACAATTCAATGGTTGTCGAGTTAAAAGCTAAAATGACCTTGTTTGTTCTAAGCAGAGGTGATAAACAAAAAAGCACGTTAGTAACATGTAACTAACAAATTAAAATTTTTATAATTGAAGTAAAAAACAGCTACCAATTTTTTTTGACGAATCAGAATAATGTTCTAGTTATTTAATCTTCTCTTTTTTTGCTTTGGTGTTTCATTATCGATTTGTCGTTTCTCTTGCAATTTCCTAGTATCTTCAATCTCGTGTGCAATACTAATGTCGAAATCTGTTTTTTAATTATCAAAGAAATTAATGAAATAAATAGATAAAATAATAATATCAAATATAAATTTACCCTCGTTCGGAACACGCAATCCAGAGCCTAAATATTTGATATTAATATTACTGTATGTAATTGTACTGTATGTAATTGTGTTATACATTTATTTAATAATTTTACCTTCATTTGCTTCGTTAGAAATATATAAACTGTCGTTTGCAGATTTGATATTGATGTCTACATCAAATTCCGTGGTTACATATTCTGCATGTATATGCAAACAAGTATTTATATAAACTAATAACTAATATTTTAATAAGAACATGTTGTATATATTGTTTCACCTTCATTTGGAGTATACAAGCTAACACTTGTAGAACCCAAATTCTTAACTAAATTGTGTCAATTGGAATTAATATTGATTAGCTTGATAAGAATAGATTTACACAAAATATTGTTGAAAAATACCAACCTTCTTGATCCACCTTCGGCAAAACTTTGCTCGTGTAAATTGCCAAGGGATGCGTCGTGTAACTTTCTTTAGAATTATATTTGGAAGCGTTTGCTCTTCTAAACTCCTCGGCGGTATCTATTTGTTGTTTTTCCGTTTCTGTAAACTCGCTTCGATACCATTTTTCAACAATGTTGCATATCTCATTGGAAGTAGGCCTTTGTGAGGGATTATGATGCCAACAACGTACAATCAAGTCGTGGTAAAAGTCAGGTAATCCTTC